ATTCACAGAAACCTTTACAGAAATATTTTAACAAATAGAAGAACCTTTTTCTGAAATTCCTCCTGCTACAAGCATGGCAATTACAAAAACAGTCTCAATTTTGCTTTTCCACCTGCAGCTTTAAATCCTTACGCAGGTGGACAGAGGGAAAAGGCAAAATTGAAGGGACTGCAAAAGGCGGCTTAAAAGAAAGAATTTGTTAAGATGGCTTGTAAGTAGCTCTGTAACTAGTTGCTTCTTTTAAAGCTGATTAAAGGGAAAGTCTTTGCTCTCTCTCCCAAGCCTAGGCCTAGTTGGGGTTGTGCTACTGGGATGGGCTTGTGAGTGTTTTTACAGTGTGCCTCTCCTTGCATGGACTTTGCTTGTGGCTGGCTGGAAACCTAGTGTTCTGTCCTGGTCCACGTCCAGCTAATCCTCTCATGGGAGTCTTTATTGTGGCAAGTGCTCTTGTGACCCTTAACTGCTCAACCCGTGCCCCTGAGATTTTGGCAAATACTTGGGAGAGATAGCGAGGCCCCTGCTTACTAAAAAAGGTAGAGTTGCAAAGCGGTCACAAGAGAGGGCGACCTAGGAAGAAGACCCTTTTCCTCTGAAATCTAGCACACCCTACGACCTAACTGAAAAGCACTCAGTGTTGTCAGCCCTTACCTGGGCTGTTGTATGTGTACTCAACCAAGTTGGTGTGTTGCCCACTACAGCTCATAGCCCTAGGTCCCTGTTTGGGCACTAGCTGATGCAGACACCAGCCCGCAGTGTCCACGGCATTGTGGCTGAGACGAGACAGATTCACATGGACTACCAAGTCCTGTGGAGGAAAAGGGATGGCACAGCCATTCTCTCAAGGGGAGAGTACCCAGCCCCTGCCTTGACAAGCTTTTATTGTTTTTCTGGGCACATCACATTGAGGATGGTCATCATTTACTATGCACAGGTTCGCTTTGGATGGTTACCTTTTACAGAAAACAAAGGAGAGGATGTTGCTAATTACATCAAAAAAGAAGGGTATTTGCAAATGTAAAGGGAAAAGTGATTGAACTGGTTACACTCGTCCTTGGAAGGTTTAGCATAGATTTTAGGAAGTTACTCTAGCGATATGCAGTAAATGTTTGCTATCTCAATTCAGGGTGAGAGAGTTTTAGCAAAAAGCAAGTCTTAAAGTGGCTTAGGTACAATGCAGGCCTGATTCCCCATGGGAGAACCTATCTGTGGGCGTGGGTCCTGTGTACCGGCCCTCGCTTTCCACTGGACTTTCTGAGTGGGAGCTGGGTCCACGCCACGCAAAACAGTCTCCTATAACCTTGTGATTGAAACATTTCACCAATTTTCCTATTGGATAGTGTTTAGAATTCCTGTGGATTATTACAAAAGAAAAATGGATCAGGTAATTAGTAGGGCTAACTTTATTTTTTTAATTTTATTTATTTTTAAAGAGGAGAAGTGAAGTAGAAAGAGAGGGAGAGAAACATCAGTGTGTGTGGTTGCCTCTCACGTGCCCCCTACTGGGGACCAGGCCTGCAACCCAGGCATGTGCCTTGACTGGAAATCGAGCTGGCAACCCTTTGGTTCACAGGCCGGCACTCAGTCCATTTAGCCACACCAGCCAGGGCAGCAGTGCTAACTTTAAAGGATAAATTAATGTTTTATATTTTCTGGTATTCCTTTGCAAAATTTGTATACACTACTAAAGTAACAAACTCTCCCATCCCTCCACTCTGATTTTTCCATGAGACTTTTGAAGAAGGAAATATAATACTGATGATTAGAATTTTTGACATATTTTATAACTTAGTATTTATAATCTTGATTTTCACTGCCTTTGAACATTATTACCATGTCTATTATTTTTTTAAAAAAATGCCTTTAAATTATGAGCATCTTAATGAATAGTTTGAACATTTGACAGTCTGAACTGATGGAGTATAAAGTGGAAATTATTTAGATTATTTTTTTCCCCCAGTCTACTCTCTCCAGTGGACTTTAAGAGTGGTTTTGGAGCTTATATCCAAGTTCCTCAGTGATTTTTGTGGGCTGTTTCATAGCACAATTCCTAAATGTGGAAGAGCAGCTTCTGCTCAACGTCTTGCCCAGTTGTGGTTACCAGCAAGGCTCTCCAAGCTGGCTATCTTTTCTGGTGTCACAGAGGTGCAGGAAGCTTCTGTGTCCAGGCTGCACCCAGTGTTGGGGCAAATGCTGTTCTAGTTTGTGGGGAGATGAAGGCCTTCTTGGCAAGGGGGGCACATAGACCAGAGCTGCTGGCTGCCAGGCCATGCTTCTCTTCCAGTGGGTCCTCTGCTTTCTGTGGGTGATAGTTTTGGAGCACTTTCTCACTCTTGGGTGCCAGGAAGAGGCAGGAGGGGAGTATCTTGCAAAGGCACAGTACACACCTCCCAAACGAAACTGCTCACTACATAATGATTGTCTGCCTTGCATCTTTTCTCCAGTTATCTCCCCCACTGAGGCATATGGGACTAGGATAAGGTGAGTGGTCACAGAACTCATTCATTTGCCATTTAATAAAACTGCCAGGGTTTGTCTTACATTAGTTGTTTTCTATTTAGAAGGTGCCATATTTAGAGCAATTTTGTTCTTAGCTTTAGGTATCCACATTCAGCCAGGGTAATAGGAAAATTCTTATCTTAACATACTGCTATTTAGTTAGCTGTTATTTTTAATGTGCTGATTAAGAGTACTTTTTTTGGTTATCACAGTATCTATTTGGATTTATATGAATTAGCAATTTCTTTTTTTCCATTTGTTTGTGTGTTAAATTTTATGAAGCAACATTTTTTAGCATCAGAGGTTTAGTTACTTTTCCTTATGTATGTTCCTTTACATGCAAACGGAGGTACTAGACCCATCTTTTGAAGTTTTAAGAATTAAATGAATTAATAATTAGACATTAGGAGAATATCTGACTATAATGCATACTTATTAGTAATTATTAGTTCCTTTCACTACTCTGTTCTATTTTATTTTATTCTTTTGTTAGATAATAGAAAGACTTGACTGTTAATTTAAAATTTAGAGGCAAAAGAAAAATTAACCCAAGGTATCAAAAGGTAGTATGATGTTTAATCTGAGCACTGAATTAGATGGATAGACTAGCCTATAGTTCTTCACCTTTTTTTAAAAAAAAATTGAGCTATAATATACATATAGTGAAATGCATAGATCCTACCACGAGTTTTGACAATGTGTGCCTTGTTACCCACATACTTATTGAGATAGAGAGCATTTCCATCACTCCACAAAGTTCCCTTTACCCCTTCTCATCCCTTTCCCACCCCAGTCACTATTTTGTGCACCCTATAGTTTTGACTGTTGTAGAACTTTATATAAATAGAATCATGCAGTGTGCTCACTTACCAATTTGCTTTTTTTTGGACTAAGCTTAATGTCTTAGGTAGTCATCTGTGTTGTTCCATGTAGTAATAGTGTTTCTTTTTATTGCTGAGTAGTAGTTTACTTTATGGATATGCCATAATAGGCTCATCAGTTCGTTCATGGATATTTGGATTTTATCTACTTTCTGGCCATTACAAACAGAGTTGCTATGAGCATTTTTTTATGAGTTTTTTTGTGAATATATGTTTGTCTCCATTTCTCCCGCTTAGGAATGGAATTTCTAATTCATAGGGTAGGGGTATGCTTAGTTAATCTTCATAAGAAAATACCAAATTGTTTACAAAATGGATATACCATTTTTTGACACGCAGCAAATATGAGAGTTCTGATTTTTTCTACATACTTTGAGTATCTTTAGTGTTATGGAATTTCTTGGGGCTATTATTACTATCATTTTTTTTTTAATGCAAGTTTTTTGGAAAGGCTGATGTTCTTCCAGATTGGAGAACCACAGACTAGATGATTTTCTTGAGATCATATTTTAGCCCTTTTTTGTATTATCTAAAGTGCTGATCACATTATTAATATATGTTTACCATTGAACTTCAATGAGTTTTCTTTTTAAAATATTGAAATATTTAATATATATACAAGATTGTTGCATATATTTTAAACTATAGATGTTTGATATCCCAGATCTGATCTCTACACTTAGAAGTAACTCTTAAGGGAAAGGAAGATGTGGTTCACTTTTGGTAAGTGAAATTTGTAGATGGATGGTTAGCTGCACCACCCACCCCCAGGTTATTGTAAAAACCAAAGGCATTACATTTGTCCCTTTCATTAATTTTTATTGTTGTGTTTTAATTGTGTACCAGTAAATTAATCAAGTGAGGAAATGATGATGATAAAGAAGAGTTAATTATAGGGCATGAAAATAAGCCGTGAATAACCTAGAACCATTAAGTCTTTGGTATGGTAGTGTGAAACTTCTCAATTAAGAAAACCTATTTTACAATGATGTGGAAACATAAAGCTTGCCGTTTTATCTCTCAATTCAGATAATGGAATTTAATGAACCACAAAATTAGTAAAGTAGTAATGGAAATATAACTAATAATAGGCATGAAATATTTTCTTGTTGTAAGATAGCATAGTGGTTTTCCTTTTACTAGAAGTTACTGATTGCCCTGTGAGTGGGATAACCATATAATTTATTGTCCAAACAGTTTCTTTTGAGAATGAAAAGAAGCACTATTAATGTTAATACTAGGACAGTAGGAATAAACAGAATTGTTCTGGACAAATGGGAACCTTTATTTGTGCATGACACAGTCAAGTAGTTCCTTCTCCAACAATGTAAACTTTTTGTAAAACCTGAATTTAAGTGGTGTACTTTTTTTTTTGTTGTAGGTATTGTTTGTATCACAAAAAGCAAATTCTTATAATTTTGATATGATGTATAGAATTATTTTATAAAATCTCTACTCTTAAGTTATGTTTGCTGCATTTTTTCTAACTATATAGGTCAAATAAATTTGAATGTAGAAAAGTAAATTCTTAATCACATATACAATAATATGAAGTACATTCAAATTGTACTATTCCTCTTTATTAGCACTTGAATATTATTGTTATTTTTTTTTGCCTTCTAGACAAATTATGAAAACAGAATATATAGCCTGAAAGTAGAATGTGGACCTAAATACCCAGAAGCTCCTCCATCAGTTAGATTTGTAACCAAAATTAATATGAATGGAATAAATAATTCCAGTGGAATGGTAAGTTAAAGTAGTCATTTTATTCTTATATAACCTATAATATATAGTCAGGAGAAAGTTAAAATAAAAGGATCTTTGTTTAGATGAAAGTCTAAAGAAGTTTCATCTTACATTGTTTTTCTTTTATAAATCAACCCATCCTTACAATCTTTATATATAGGTGTGATAGCTACATTTCTCTTGGGGTTCTGTTAATTGTTTCGGTTGTAGTTCACTGAATCCTTATTTGGTTGAAAAGATGACCATTAGTTTCTTTTTTGAATGTTACTTTTCTTTGGAGTTAAATTATTAATATATTTGGTGAGATTAAAAGGATGAATATTTATGAAAAGGGATTTTTTTTAAGGAATGGGTATGTTTACATTGAAACAAATAATCGTAGTTGTACACTGTTGTTTATTTAAAGCAAATAAACCAAAATGACACACTCTACCTGATTCACATATGAAAGCTGGTAGAAATAGCTAAATTTCCAATACTAGTAGATTATTAGATTCAGACTTAAAAGTTCAGACTCTTTGAGATGCCATGTTGAGGTCACAATTAACAATGAAAGTATATGTTAGGGATCATAATAACATAATATTAGAATGAACTTTATCCATCTTAGGAAATATTACAGAATGTTGTCAATATTCTTAACTTCTGTGTGCTCCTCCTTATCCCATTCCTATGTTTTCTTTCTCCAGCAAGGGTAATTAACATCTTGAAAAGTTTCTTTTATATTTACTTACTTTATAGTTTTACCTAATTTATCACGTATGTACACCTATTGTTCCTCCCTCCCTCCCTCCCTCCCTCTTTCTGTCTATCTATTTATATAGCTAAAACCACACATTTATACCTATACCTCAAATTCTATCCCAGTGCTACAGGGTTTATTAGAGATTTCATCCTTCCCATATTTGTAATTCCCTCCTCCAACAGTGAGGAATTTTTCTGAAACACAAATTGTGTCATACCACTTATGTGCTTTGAAGTTTTTAATGGCTTCAGCCACAGTGTGCATGGTTCTTGCCATGACTCATCAGCTGACAGTACATACTGCCCTGCACACCTTTCATTGGGCTCTAGGACCTTCTTTTGCACTTTCTGTATCTTCCTGTCTGGATATCTCTACTCTGGTTAATCCTAACAGATTCTCAAAGAATCTGTTTCTTAAAGAAGTCTTTCCTGAGTCCCCAGTCTGACTTATATCTCTTGTTACTCTACTCTGTTATATATAGTCACATTGTTATTTTCTTTTGTAGCAGTTACTGTAAGTTTATTGTCACTTTTCTCTTGTTTTTATTTTTGGTGTTACAAAAGGAATATTTCTAACATACAGATTGGTTTTAGAGAATGATATATAACCAATACCCTCCACCTATTTTGTCATATCTTAACATTTTTATTTTATTTGTAACAGATCTTTTTAAAAGACTACATTATAAATAGTTAACTCTCTGTGCGCCTTTCCCCGGTTACCCCTTTCCCTCTTTCCTCAGAGGTAATCTCATCTTGAATTTGCAGTTTATAATTTCTGTGCATGATTGTTGTGCTTTTACTATGCACCTGCGTATACCTCTATATTGTGTCATTTTTGTGTGGAATCACATGTCACTGGTTTTTTTGATTTACCCATGTTGAGTCATGCAAATAAGATTTTTTTAACTGTTTAATATTCCATTTTTTACTTGCTGAACATTTAGGTTTTTTCAGTTTTCTCTGAAAAGATTGTACAAGTGTTCTTGTACCTTAAGGCAGTGCCTCTTAGGACCTGGTGTTTGTTTATTGGATCCATGTTGTAGATGAATACTGTTGTGAAATATAATAAAATTAAATTACTAGAAAAATGAAAACAACAAAGACAAAATAGAAGTTCTGATTTTTTTAAATAAAAATGTCTCTGTCAAATTGCTTTAGCTCTGTCTGACCCCTACTCTGAATTCCTATGTTTATCTTATCATGAACTAGTAAAAATCAGTTCAAGATCAACACTGTTCTGTGGAAACTACTTTGAATAGCACTTGCTCCAGGGCATACAACTAGAAGTGGAATGTCTGCTGAGGTATGGGGCTTATCTTTAGCTTGATTGAATACTGCCAAGTTGCTTTCCACAGGACTGTGTTTATGTCTTATTGGCTATATGTAAAAGCACCCTGAGAATGTACATTTCCACCGGTACTTCATAATGTCAAGCTGGAATGGGGATTAGAAAATAGTAAAATAAACACTGATTTTAATTATTGAGTGTGTAGGTATTTATGTAGAGGATTGAGTTAGGGTGAATATATTGGGAGTGAGTTTTTCTCTTGATTGATAACTAAGATTTAAATGATTAATTTTATAACTAGTAAATAGTAGGGAATTTTACATTGAGTCTTGGTGATTGTGCCAGGATGATTTCAGATACTTTGAGGTGATTTATGGATGAATTATGGCTGTTGCTTTAGTAATTTTGGTTTATATTTACTTTATAGAACTAGTCAAAATTATTTTTTGTGGGTGGTTAACACTGTAAAGCATAAATTACAGTGTTTTATGCTTCAAGGTCTCAAGTTTTGGAAGTTACCGAATATTATAGACAGATAAGATCCAGATTTATTCTGACATGATAATTATTTTCCCATCCTCTTTTCTTCCATCTCTCTTTATTCCCCCCCCCCCAATTTTTTACATTCTGTTGGTATTTTACAGGATTTATAATCACTTATGTTTATTTAACTATCTTTTAACTTTACAGCCAGAAGTGTTGATTTCTGCTTTGGAAAAACTTGGTATTCTCTTGACTTATTTTATAAACTTGTTCACTTATGGGATCTATTTAAAATAGGGTAATGGAATCACTACTCTTCTAGGTTAAAGCATTAGAGGAAGGATTTTTAAATATGTTAACATTGTTTCAATTACTTGTCGGAGATTATAAAAATTATTCTCCTGTTCTACTTTTAAATAGTTTTATTGTTACATAATTTACATACCATACAATTCACTCATTTAAAGTATATAATTCAGTGTATTTTAGTTTTTACAGGGTTGTGGGCCTATTACCAGTTTTAGGTCCAGTTTTAGAACATTTTTAACTGGTCAGAATCCAGTTTTAGAATATTTTTATCTTTCTCAAAGCAACTCCCGTATCCGTTCATTGTCACTTTCCACTCCCCACCTCCCTCACACTAAATAACCACTAAATTACTTTCTGTCTTTATAGATTTGCCTATTCTGGACTTTTTATATAAAAGGAGTCATACAATATCTATTCTTCTGTGACTAGCTTCTTTCATTTAACCTAGTATTTTCAAGGTTCATTGATGTTGTAGCATTTATTAGTACTTTTTGCCTTTTTATTACTGAATACTATTCCATTATATAGTGATATCACATTTTGTTTGTCCTTTTATCACCTGGTAGATATAACATTTTGATTTCTCTTGAGTAAATATACCTTGAAGTGGAATTGCTGGATCATATGGTAACTCAATGTTTAACATTTTGAGGAACTGCCAGACTGTTTTTCAGTGTGAACATACTATTCTACATTCCCACCAGCATATGAGAGTTCAGCTCTTCTACATCCTTGCCAAAAATTGTTACTGTTTGTTTTATTTTTTATTATAGCCATCCTACAAAGTGTATAGTAGTATTTATTTCATTGTGGGTTTGACTTGCAATGTCTTGATTAGACTGATGAAGTTGAGTACATTTCCAAATGCTTATTGGCCACTTGTGAATCTTCTTTAGATAAATGTCTATTTAGATTCTTTGTCTGTTTTTTTAAAGCAGTTGAAACAAGACTTATTATCTCACAGTTTCTGTAGGCCAGAAATGTAGGTCCAGCTTTTCTGGATTATATGGCTCAGGGTCTCATAGGCTGCAATCAAGATGTCAGCCTGTGCTGTGGTCTCACCTGAATGCTTGACTAAGGAATGATCCAATTCCAACCTCAGTCTTTTGGTTGTTGGCTGGATTCAGTATTTTGTGGGTTTTTGGACTGAGGGCATCAGTTTCTTGCACACTGCTGCCCAGAAAGCACTCTTGGTTTCTTGCCATAAAAGCTCTCTTTTTAGGGCAGTTCACAACATGGCAGCTGACTTCCACCTGTGAATCAAGGAGTAAAAGCAAGAGTAAGAAGCTAGAATATGTTTGTAATTTAATATTAGAAATGACATCTCAGTAGTCTTTTCATTAGAAGCAAGTCACTAGGTCTAGCCCTTACTCAAAAGGAGGGGTTTTATAGAACATGAATATCAGAAGTTGAAGATCTTTGGGAGCCATTTGAACAGCTCTCTTAGTTTGGGCTGCTGTAACAAAAATACCATAGACTGGGGTGGCTTAAACAACAGAAATTTGTTTCTCACGGTTCTGGAGGCTGGGAAGATCAAGATTAGGGTGCTAGCATGGTTCGATTTTGTGAGAATACTCATCTTTGTTGTAGATGACTGGCTTCTTGTCCTCACATGGAAGTGAGAACAAGCTCTTTAGTCTCTGTTCTTAAAAGGATACAAATCCCATCATGGGTGCTCTACCTTCATGACCTCATCTAAGCCTAATTACTTCCCAAACACCTCAGCTTCTGATACCATCCCTGTAGGGCAGAAGTGGCAAACACAAGGCCCACGGGCTGAATCTGATCCTCCACCTTGTTTTATCTGACCCAGAATCTTGTTTCTATCTAGTGGCAGCGTTGCTCTTGCCTAACTGTTAAGGAGTAGTTACATTTATACAGTCCTAAAATTACATTCAGCCCTTTGAAGGCAACTGCAAAGCTGATGTGCCCTCCAGCCTCCCGCCCCCAGTGAAAATGAGTTTGACACCCTTGCTGTAAGGGTTAGGGTTTTAACAAACCAGTCCATAAAAGCTGCCTACCACAGTCTGCCTTTGCCACATTTTAATTGAGATAATTTTATTACTGAGTTGTAAGAGTTCTTTAAAGAGTGAAAAAGAGTCCCTGATCAAATGTATGATTTGCAAGTGTTTTTCCTACTCCATGGGTTTTTTCTTTGCTTTCTTGATTGTGTGATTTGCAACACAAACATTTTACATTTTGATGTAACCATTTTCTTTTGTTGTTGTTGTTGAATGCACTCTGTTATATCTCAGAAACCATTACAAAATCCAATGTCAGGAAGATTTACTCCTATTTTCTTCTGAGAGTGCTTTATTATTAAAAATTACTATTTTTTAAATCCTCAGCCAGGAATATCTTTCTTACTGATTTTTAGAGAGAGAGGAAGGGAGGACAGACAGACAGAGTTGTCAGTGTGAGAAACATCAATTAGTTGTCTCCTATACATGCTCTGACCAGTGACTGAACCTGCTATACCTAGGTATATGCCCTGACTGAGGATTAAACCTGCAACCTTTTGGTGTATGGGATGATGCTCCAACCAATTGAACTACCTGACCAGGGCTCTTTTAACAGTTTTATAGCTTTTGCTCTTAATTTAGGTATGTTATCCATTTTGACTTAATTTTTGTGTATGGTGAGAGTTAAGGGTACAACTTTATTCCTTTGCATATGGATATTTAGTTGTCTGAACACCACTAATTGAAGAGACTCCTTATTGTGTATTCTTGTCAAAGATCAGTTTATTGTGTATGTATGATGCATGGATTTATTTTGGGGCTCTCAATTGTATTCCCTTGACAGGTACATTCATCCTTATATAAGCACCATCTCCTTGATTACTATAGCTTTGTAGTAACCTTTGAAATTAGAAGAACTTGGTTCTTCTAATTTCTTTTTTGTATTCTTTGGCTATTCTGGGTTCCTTTCATTGTCATATGAATTTAAGGATCACTTTGTCCACTTCAAAAAAAAAGTTGAAATTTTGATAGGGATTGTATTGAATCCATAGATCAATTTGAGGGATATTGTTGTCTTAATCAATATTAAGCTATCTGATCCATGTGATGGAATCTTCCCATTTATTTCGGTCTTTAATTTATGTCAACAATTTTTTTTATAGTTTTCAGTGTACAGGTCTTAACACTTATGTTAAATTTATACCTATGTATTTTATTCTCTGTTCCCTACTGTAACTGGCATTGTTTTCTTTGATTTTTCAGATTGTTCTTTGCAGGTATACAGACATACAGCTGGATTTTGTGTGTTGATCCTGTATCCTGCAGCCTTGCTGTACTTGCTTATTAGTTCTAATAGTTTCTTTAATGGATATCTTAGGATTTGCTTTATATAAGATCATGTCAACTGTAAATAGAGATAATTTTACTCATTTCTTTTCTACCTGGATGCCTTTTATTTCATTTTCTTGCTGATTGCCTATTTAGAACTTCCAGTTCTGTCATGAATAGCACTGATGAGACTGAAAATCCTTGCCTTGTTCCTGATATCAGGAGGAAAGTATTTGGTCTTTCACTGTAAAGTATGATGCTAGCTGTATATTTTTTATAGATGCCCTTTATTAGGTTGAGATAGTTCCCTTCTGTTTTTTGAGTGTTTTTTATCATACAAGGTTATTGGATTCTGTCAAATGCTTTTTTGTGTCTGAGATAACCATGATTTGTTTTCTATTTTAATATGGCATATTACATTGATTGACTTTAAAATATTGAACTAGCCTTGCATTCCTGGGATGAATCTCATATGGTTATGGTACATAATCTTTTTTTATATGTTGCTCAAAGTCAGCCACGGGTAAGAGTTTATGGCCTTCTCAGGTCTTTCAGGAGCCTGTGCTCAGCCCTGTACGTGTGTGGTCTTCTAGATTTAGGGCGTATTTTAGAACTTTCCAGTGTCCCTACAGACATCAGTAGATTCCTCTGAAGTATTTTGATTACCTTCCTGTGTGCCCTGTTGTCGCCTCTCCAGGCAATAGGGATGTTAAACAATTTACACTGCTTTAATGTCACAGGCAAGGGTAGCGTGGGTGGGTGACAGAATAGGCAGTACCCAATGTGTGAGTTTTGAGGTCAGTTAAAGAAAAGCCTTGTGAATGGTGTTTTCCAGGGAAGTGCCAGATAGGTCAAGTGATGGCAATTACCTGGAAATGAAGCTTTGAAAGATCTCCGGTCACATTATGCCAGTCTTCCATAGTGGAAGGTTTATTTAGTGTGGTACATAGAACACATTGGAAAGAGAAATCTGAAAGCAGAGATCAGCTTCACAGTTCTTTCCTAAATCCTATTGGAGATAATTGCCCATATTTTTGGTAGAGGCATTGGGAATGGAAGGAACTCTCCATCCTTATTTCATCAAGAAGGAATTAGTAAATATGTTTATAATGTAGTTATTTAATATAACATTTTTAAAATTTCTGATGACCAAAGTTCACTACACGTTTATTTGTAAAATACAGAAAAGCACACGCACACAATACACACATTTTTTGGAAATACCTGTTAAAGAAAGGAGTATTTTCCCTAAATATTATATGAACCTGTACTTATAATATTGATTTTGATGGAATGAGAGCCAGACTATTAGTTTTTAAAAGGACTTATTAAAATGTTTTAATCTATTGATGCCGGAGTGCTTTAAACTTGGTAATTAATTTTATTTCTTTATCCTTCCTTTCAGGTAGATGCACGTAGCATACCAGTATTAACAAAATGGCAAAATTCATATAGCATTAAAGTTGTACTTCAAGAACTAAGACGTCTAATGATGTCTAAAGAGAACATGAAGCTTCCACAGCCACCAGAAGGACAAACATACAACAATTAATTTTAGTGGATCTCAAACTTGTCTTAAATCAACAATCTTCTATTTGTGTTAATGTCTTGATTAAATATTACAATGCAAAATACCCACCCATTAAGTAAAAGAATTCCAGCTGGTAAACATGACCTGGACATTTGTAAGAATATATTTAATATATGTATATGCATTATGTTTTCAGGTAACAGAAGGAAAAATGCAGCACATTTGTTTTTAAGGCACTGTCATTTAAACATAAACCTGGAGTACTCAAAATAGAATTCAGGTTTATAAGATGAAAATATGGTGAGAAGTGTCAGGTAGCTGTGGTGGAAGCATGTGTGTTTCTAAAAATCTCAAGAAGGGAAAAGAAATGGCATGCTTTATCCATCTTGCTTAGTGAAAAGAGCTTCAGTTTAAATTGTCTGAAGTAGCAGGTACAATGAGTATTGTCAGAAATTGTTTTAATTTTCAAAGTAGTGTGGATGCTGACTACTAGTATCAAAAATATGTTAAGGATTGTTTTGATATCTGCATTTATAATAAAAAATGTCATGGGGAAAGTTGATGAATTTCTGTTAAAAAGCTATTTCTGTACATTACATGTAACAGACATGACAAATACTTGTTTACAGTCTTTGACAAACATACATTTAAGTTTAAGTGAAATCAGCAAAAAGGAAATAAGTGTATTGATATGTGATTTTGGGGATTAAAGTTAGTCTTAAAATGTAAATAAAATGTGGATTGTGTCCTCAGAAACTGTGCCATTTCTGTTATATTGATGTGGTATGTGTACAGTACCTTGCCGGGGTAGCAAAAATTTGAATTGTTGTAGCTTTCCATTCATATACACTTTTTATTATTTAACCTATTTTGTATACTTCTTGTGAATTGGAATTTGCAGAGTACAAATTATTTGAAAAGTTTTAATTTCTTTGGACAAGGAAGAATCCCAAATACTATATTCTCACTTTGATTTTACCAGAAATATATTAAAAATATGTTTGAATTCTAGCAATTTTTACAGAATTATCTATTGTAAATTATTCCTATATATATTATATTTTTTCTTTACAACTTTTTTTTAAGTTTTTCTGTGGCATTTCTTCTCCCAATGCTTTTAATACTAACTGGGATTAATTTTATCCATTCCACTGTCTTTCACTTTGGCACATATGTATTCCATACTGATGTTCTGTTTACCAAAGTGATGAGAGGTTTTAAGTTACCAGTTTTCATTTCAAAGCCATAGGTATGTTACTGTGTTGAAAATACTCTTTTCATATAGAATTCACTGAACAAAATAGAAAGGCAGTCAGGTGACAAGGACAGATTTCTTAAACATGCGCTGACATGTTTGTATCAAGTTCATTTAAATCTAAAGCTTTGAGCTACCTTTTCTGGGGCAATAATATATTAAAGTCAGTGACAGTTTGTCTAAACTTTCAATTTCAACATGGCTATTCTATTTTAATTGTGAAAGATTTTTAAAATGCTTTAAACTGACACATAGAGAACATATCAATACAAATTAGTGCATGTGTAATTTATTAAAATAGGTTTGAAATGAACTATTACCTTAGAATACACTCTTAAAGTTATTACATTGTTAAAGGAGATGGTTGGATTACACTAATGTCATACATAGTTACTGATGGTCTAAATCAATCTCTAATAATTTCCACTTTGAAAATGTGTCTTGTTGTACGTACATAGGCGCTATGAAGCATTTGAATGCTGTTAAATTATTCATATATTGGTAGGCTGAGAATCTGGATACCTTAATCTCATCCTCTTCTGTTTCCCCATATCCAGTACTGAAGTTTTTTTTTTTAATTTCCCTGAAGTATATGTTGTCTGAGTTGACTGTGTGTTTATGTCCCTTCTTTTGTTTTTGAGACTGTATCTCTGCTGAAATCTGCATGCTCTTTAGCTAATTTCCAAAGCAGGATCCATTTTGCATGTAACCATCAATATGTACATGGCAAGCTAAGACACACTGGTTGATTATAGGAGGAGTTGATACAGAACTACTCTTAAATGTAGTAACATTTCTAAGATAGCAGTTTTGAAGCTATTTTTCCATTTGTCTGTTCTGTAAAATGGCTAAGGTTGTGGGAGTGTGTTATTAAATGAACTGTAAATTTGCCTTTGAAATTTGTTTAAAAGGTTAGGAGGGGAGACCCTAGGGGATGATTTTATATTAATAAAGATTACAAAAATAAAATTCTTGTCCTGTTAGGTCAGTGTTATGCTTTAATGGTTTTAATTACTCATTTTCAGAATTTTATTAGTATTTTAAAGTAATGGCATTTGCTGTAATGGAGTTTTTAGAATTTTCAAACAGTTGTAAGAATAGTCAATGGTATTTTAAGACTTTCATGTGTAAAATACCAAAATGTATAATTTTAAATCATCTTTTCAAAACAATTTATCACACTGCAGATTGGAGGGTGAATTTGTTTGAACCCCATACAATTTATTAGTCTGGATTGCTTAATATCAATATATCGATTTAAATATTTCCCACTAAATATTATTGATAAATACATATGAAATGCATATTTTGGGGGAAAATTTTGAGGACAAAGCTATAAAATTTTAATGCATTTTCCTTGATAGATTTGGTGTGCATGGCTTTGGGTAGTGCTGGCAGGTGCTCAAGAAATTAAAGACTGGTCAAAACTAGGGTAGCTTTTTTTTTTTTTAAGATTTTATTTATTCATTTTTAGAGAGGGAAGGGAGGGAGAAAGAGAGAGAAACACATCAATGTGCGGTTGCTGGGGGCCGCGGCCCGCAACCCAGTATGTGACCTAACTGGGAATCGAACCTGCGATGCCTGGTTCGCAGCCCGCGCCCAATCCACTGAGCTGTGCCAGCCAGGGCAAAACTAGGAAACTTTTTAAAAAATAAATTTACTGGGTTGACATTGGTTAATAACATTATATAGGATTCAGGGGCACGGTTTATAATACATCATTTATATATTGTATGTTCACCACCCCAAGTCAAATCTGCTATCACGTTTTGTTCCCCTGTGACCCTTTTCTTCCTCTCTCCACCCCTATTTCCCTTGGTAATGACCATTCTTTTGTCTGTCTATGAAGTTTTTTGTTTTTGTTCTTTTCCCCCGTTAATCCTTTCACGATATGCATTCAGCCCCACTACCACCACCCCTCAAACAGTCTTTCCTCTCTATCTATGAGTCTGTTTCTATTTTGTTTATTTTGTTCATTAGATTCCACATATAAGTGGAATCGTATATTTTTCTCTGACTGGCTTATTTCACTTAACATAATAATCTACAGGTCAATTCGTGCTATTGCAAAAGGTAAGATTTCCTTTTTTTATACTAGTGAGTAGTGTTCCATTGTGTATATGTACCAAAGCTTTTTTATCCACTCATCTACTAGTGGACACTTGGGCTTACAAGTCTTGGCTATTGTAATTAACATTGAAATGAACATACTGGTGCATACAGTCTTTCAAATTAGTGTCAGGTTTCTTTGGATAAATTCTCAGAAGTGGAATAGATGGGTCATTAAAAAGTTTCATTTTTAATTGTTTCAGGTAAATAAATCCTTACTGCTTTCCACAGTGGCTATACCAGTCTTCATTCCCACCAACAGTGGATGAGGGACCCCACATCCTCATCCACACTTGTTTGTTGATGATACCTATTCTGACAGGTGTCAGGTGTTACCTCGGTGTGTTTTTAATTCTCATTTTTCTGACATCATGTGTTTATTTCATATGTCTATTGCTCATCTGCATGTCCGCTCTGGAGAAGTGTCTATTCAGATTCTTTGCCCATTTTTTAATTTGACTTTTTGGTGTAGAGTTATATGAATATTAATTTGAATATTAAACCCTTATCAGATGTATCATTGGAAAATATGTTCTCCCAGTTAGAGGTTTCATAACAATGTGGGTCATGCCAGATTGCTGGGGAGCAGATGTGTGAACTCCAACCCAGTATGAGAAGCTACCTGACCCTCTTCCCCTGGAGAAGGGAGGGGGCGGTGAGAAACTCAGTGCTGGTGGTTTGAAACTACAACCTTCGAAATAGGCTTTCTTACCCCAGGGGAGGGTAAATAACTGGTGTGCCTATGACACAGCTGGAGGGAGCGTGTACAGAACATGTGTGGGCTGAAAAGGTCACAAAACACATGGAATAAGGTGACTCCCAGCTTCAAAGGAGATGCTTGTACCCCTGTGCGGGCTCGGGAACTCAGCTCTTTCCTCAGAATGGTGGTGGGAAGAGGGCCAGAGACACTGGAGCTGACAAATATGGCGGACGTTGATGCACATTGGTTGAAAAGCTAGATGCTCTGTTGCATGGGTGTCTGGGCCAAATCTTTAAAAGAAAATGCCAAGAAGCACATGGGTCTTTCTCTTCTCCTGCTAGTCCAGTGGGCCACAGTGGGCTTGAGTTCCTGAGGTTGGTCAGCCCTGGAGGCCATGTGGTTGGGGAATGTTCTAGCACGTCTTCTATACAGAGAGTGGCAGCAGCATTGTCAGTGGTGCATAGCCCTGCCTGGCAAGTAGCACAGACTTGAGAGACACTTGGAGCCAAGCTGACTAAAAATCTGCTAAGCAGCCTGGATTCTTCCATCTTCGTTCTCACAAGGATGGCACTTTAGGGATTCCAGGCACATCCTAGAACTTGTCTGGCCTGGCAGAGGATAGCAAAGTTATTTGATTTTAGTGTTTTAAAGGGAGCAGGGTGGTCTCTGTTGCAGAAACCTGGTCATTATCCAAAACTGTATAGCCTTTAAATAAACATCCCTTTTCCTTTTCCACCAAACTTCTGATTCCAGAGCTTTGCCTATAGCCAGTAAGCAGTAGAAACCCACTGGCTGTTCTCCAACAGCACTGGCTATTCTGTGCCAGTTATTTCATTTTGTTAATTATTTCCTTTAGTGTGCAAGAAGTTTTTAGTGTGATGCAGTCCGGGTTTATCTTTTGTTTCCCTTGCCCAAGGAGATATTTCAGAAAACATTACTATGAGAAATTTTCTAGATTATCCTGCCTGTGTTTTCTTCTAGAATATTTATGGTTTTGAGTCCAACATTTAATTAAGTGTTTAATCCATTTTGAGCTTATTCTTATGTATGGTGTAAGAAAGTGGTCTATTATATTTTTTGCACCTATCTGTATTTTACCAACATCTATTCCCTTCACCAAATTGGGGAAGTTTTCCTTATTTGTTCAGATAAGTTTTCAGTTTCTTGCTCTTCTTCTGGTACTCCTATGATTGGGATGTTGGAATGTTTGAAGTTGTCCCAAAGGTTCCTAACCATCTCATTTTTTTTTTTTTTTTTGCATTCTTGTTTCTTCATTGTGTTCAAGTTGGATGCTTATTTTCTCCTTTTGTTCCAAATCATCGATCTGAGTCCCGGTTTCCTTCTCTTCACTGTTGGTTCCCTGTATATTTTCCTTCATTTCACTTTGTGTAGCCTTCGTTTCTTCCTTCATTTTGTGAGCAAGCTCAATCAATTCTGTGATCATCCTGATTACCAGTGCTTTGAACTTTGTATCAGATAGGTTGGCTATCTCCTTGTCACTTAGTTCTTTTTCTGGCACTTTGATCTTTTGTTTCATTTGGGCTTTTGTCTTGGTGCATCTATTATGTCTACGGGTCATACAGAGCCTTAGGTATTCACCAGGGTGGGGCAACCCACTTTGCTGCTTTGTGGTGTTTTATGTGAGGGAAGAGTCAGAGAGGGAACAATGCTGCTTGCTGTGTTCTCAT